CCATGACTTCCTGGCTCATAGGTTGACACTCAACCACTAAGCCACAGCGCAGGGGTCTTGTGTTATTATTTATTATTACAATTTCCCATGCAAACTGTAAACCTACTTTAGTCCACACACTATATATTTTTATTTTTCAAATATTATTTCTCAGCATAAAATTAAAACAGCACTTGCAAAAGAATTCATTAAAATCCCTTATAATCATTCTACTTGTATTTTAAGAATAAAAATGCTATTTATTTTTAAAAGGTTGCATTCATCAAAAGAAATGAAGCATTACTAAAAAAAAAATCATGTATCTCAAATATTTTTAGATAATATTTAAAAGTATCCTGTATAATAAAAACCTAATATGCTTATTTTCCCTCTGGCAGTCATTGATCGGAAGTTCAACCGCTCGCTATGACGTACACTGACCACCAGGGAGCGGCGCGGTACATGGCGGCCATTGGTGACGCGGTGCTGGCAGTGGGCGGAGGCGAGGCACTGCTGGCCCCGATGGGCCCCGAGGACAGCGGGACTGCGGCAGGATGGTGGAGCAGGCGAGCGGGCGGTGCCAGGCCAAGGCGGGGTGCCCGATAGGGCTGCGGGACTGCGAGGCTGGGGGTGCAAGCGAGGACCCAATCTCCACAGGCCACCCCCAGGGTCCCCACCCGTGCACAAATTTTGTGCACCGCCTGTAGTTTGAAATAAAGTATGCACAGTTAGCTTGTAATTTTGTTTTAACATTTTCATTTAAAGAGACAACTTCTCCAGAACTTTACCTTACTTTCATGCAGCATCAAAGAAAGCAATCAGTGTGTTTTGGTCATAACTGTCCAGAATCTCCAGTAAAAGAGGTACTTTGGTTTTTACATTGGTGCCTTTGAACTTGAACTTATCTATAAAAAGATCGGTGATCATCCCTATAAAGAAAATGTTAATTTCCTGTCATTGATTAGGTATCTATTTCTAATCACCTGTAATTCCATTATTTATAAACAAATCTAAAAGGATTGGTGCTTTAAAAAATACTTATTTTGGAGAGATTTTAAGGCAAGTTTTAAAATATAAATCATTGGCTAGTAACTCTCTTAACAACTGGCTGTGGCTATGGCTTCAGGCATCCACTGCTGACCACTCTGCAATGCTCTTGGCACACAGGGCATCACAGGTGTTGGCCTTTCACTCGGGCTGACCAGAGGACATGGTGCAGAGCAAGCAGGTCAAACTCGAGGCTCACAGGTGCATGCGGCCCACAACGAATATTTTTGCAGCCCAGCCAATATAACGGTATGTAAGAAACGTGTTAATAAAAATTTCATGACTTAATTTTTACAATATCCTGTTATACATAATTACTAATAACGAACTACAATGTTCGCTAGCGACTGATGACTATAATCGTGTTGCATGCATTTCCCTTACGCGCCTTACGTACAGACACACCATTTCTCTCCACTAATACCAGCAGCGAATATTTTAGCAGCCGATGGCCACATTAGTCTTGGACTGACTTGTTTGGTGTGCGCAACAGGAAATATTTCACTTTCGGAGAACAAGAAAAATAGGTTTATTTGTGTTATGTTATTAATTTGTGCAGTTATTCAGTGTCTGCTAAGTGAATGTTAAAGAAAAAGTATTAATTTTTATTAAAATGTTTTATTATTTATGTTAACGATGACTCATTTATTTCAGCCCTTTGTATTCAGCATGTCTCTACTGAAATAAACCTACTTTTTTATGAAAATTGAAGCTTTTGTTTTTTTTGCGGCCACATAATCTTAAACCTTATTTGGCCCGTATTAGCCTTTGAGTGAGTTTGACATGCTTGCTGTAGAGATTCAGTTCTCAACACGTTTATTTAAATTAGAATATTCCTCCCTGGCCAGTGTGGTTCAGTGGTTAGAGTGTCAGCCTGTGTACCAAAGGGTTGCGGGTTCGATTCCCGGTGAAGGGCATGTACCTGGTTTGCGGGTTTGCTCCCTGCCCCCAGTTTGGGACTGTGTAGGAGGCAACCAAACTATGTTTCTCTCTCAAGTCTCTCTCTCTCTCTCTCTCTTCCTCCCCTCCCTCC